TCCTTTATGTAAAAATTCTTTTTCTCGCAAACTCTAATTCCAATATTACCTCATCGATCTGACAATTTGTCGCATATATGAATAAGTGTTTCATCTCTCAAGTGCTGGAGCGATTAATTAAAAATTATAGCTATTTGAAATTCATATCATTTGCCGTCAACCGGTGATTTGACATATTTTCCATTACGTGGCATACCTAGATGCATTAGTCTACATTTAAAACACGTGCGCGCGCGCGCAAAGAAATTAATTCAGAAGTGGTTTCCCGACAATGACGTCGACGCGACTACACTTGCTGTCAGTCGGCGAAGGTATCTAAGCCCGCAAGAAGTGCCGCTATGTCCTACATAAGAGCCGAGGCGGCGGATGATGATTCTGGGACGGCGCGTTCGGTTATTACGTATCTTCCGGGTCCGGTTACGATTGATTTCTTAAATCACGTATCATCAACGGGGATCTCAGTAAATTTCAGTACTGCGAGTCTTTATTTATCGAGAGCAAGCAGCGGTAATTCAATTTTTACCCTGCTGCTTTCACGTGACTTCTACGGGCTTCGGAAAAATTTCGGAAAATGTTTTGAATTAATTATAAAAGTTTGGAAATTGAATCGTTTCTTTCTTTTATTATCAATAAAACGGTTGCAGACATTTATTTTTATTTTATTTTATTTTATTTTATCTTATCATATTTTATTTTATTTTATTTTATTTTATTTTATAATGGATTCTAAATTCTTTCGTTTGCATAATTTTATCAACACGCCTCGAATTAATCAGTACGAAAACAATGCGTGATTCTTTTCAGACACGCGACGCGTATTATCTGCTTATCTCTAAATAAACCGAAAGCGACATCCGCAAAAAGTTTGGCGGTCCCCTTCCGTTATTTACATGGAGTCGCGTAAGGGCCCGCGGGCTTATCGGGAGTGAAAACGCGGAAGCGATAAACGCGCGTGCGTGGACGGGGAGCAAAAAGAGTTTCGAGCGTGAAAAGCAGGGGAGAGAGGGGAACGGTCGTGAGGTGGCCGAGTA